GCAATGATTTGCCTAGCTTCTGAAAACTTTAACAGGCAATAAGACCTACGATGGTTGATGGACGATTGCAAAATCAGTAACATCTATTACCTCCCCATTCCCCACACCCGACAAGCAAAGCAGCAGAACTGCATAGGGTTTTTGAGGCTGTAAATCTTTATGAGAGCTGAAAGCCTCTTCTTTTTCCTGCAGAACAGGTGGTAGTTTTGAACTGCTGACCTTGAGGCTAGCATCCTGATTCGTAACCACTATGCTACCAGAGCTCCTTTACATAAATATTACAGTCATGGAAAACAACAACAACAAATATTAGTGAGGATATGGAGAGACTAGAACCATTATACACTGATGGAGCAATCACTGTTGAAAATGGTATTACATTCAATCCCATTACATGTTATATATCTGAGAAAAATAAGAGCTATGACTTGAATAGATATATGCATATCCATGTTCATCACAGCAGTGTTCATGAAAGCAAAAAGATGGAGACAGCCAAAGTGTCCATCAGTGGAAGAGTGGATGAGCAAACTATGGTACATGTACACAATAGAACATTAAAGAATAATAATTAGTCTGTAGAACACTTCATAATGTAAATAAACCTGGAGGACATTATGTTGAGCAAAGAAAGTCAATCAAAAAAAGACAAATACTGTAGATGACTTCTATTATAAAATTTAAGAGAAGGTTTTCACACAAAAAGAAACATTCTTTGGTGATTACCAGGAGTGGAAGGAGAATGGAGGGTAAATTACTAGAGGGGTTAGATGGTGGTGGTGTGCCGGGGAGTCGGTTCTGACTCATAGCATTCCTGTATAGGATTTCCTAGGCTGTAAATCTTCACTGGAACAGAAAGCCTCATCTTTCTCCTGAAGAGCGGCTGGTAGATTCAAACTGCTGACCTTGTAGTTAGCAGCCCAGTGTGTAACTCATTATGCTACCAGGACTCCTTTACTAGAGGGTGGTGTTGTTACTTGCCATCAAGTCAGTTCCGACCCATAGCGATCCTGTATAGTTTTTCCCAGGAGCAGTGTGTGAACTTGAACCACTGACCTTGCAGTTCAAACTGATTTTGCAGTCCAGCACATTAACCCACAGAATAACACCAGGACTGTGTACTAGAGGGTAGACAGATACTAACTTTGGTGAGGGGGATTGCAGTACACAGTAAGAGGGACCTCAGTAAAAATTACAGAGGCAGGATAATACACTGGGAGGAGGCAAGAGTTAAAGGCAACAGAAGTAAATATTGTTCTGTACACAGTCCTGCAATAATGGACATTTGTGAGTGAATACATGGGTAGACATGGAGGTTGAATAGGTGTGGGAGAGAGGTGGGACTAGTCTTAGGAATATTTGTAGGTTTGATAGGATATTTCTACTTGTGTGTTTGCCTGTGCTACAAATATATCCATGAATGTGGTAAAGCGTATAGGGACAAAGTTATGAAAACTTCTTGGATATAACCAGACACCTTGAGGGACACCAAGGTCAATTGTCAGGTCATATGCCAGTGTTCTAAATCCTACTTTGGTGAGTAGTGATTAGGATCTTAAAAGCTTGTAAACAACCATCTAAGGTGCAACTGTTGGTCTCTTCCATCTGGAGGAAAGATGAGCAAAAAAAATTGAAGACTCATGGAGACAATTTGTCCAGTGGGTAATGGACCACATGAACATCAGCCTCCAAGGCCCTGAGACCAAGAATGGAAAGTGAAGTGTCCAGTTGATAAGAAGAGAGGGCATATGCATAAGAACACCCACACTTGCAGATAATACCCACTTGACCTGGCTTCAATGACTGGATGATCAGAGCTCAACTAGAAGAAGACAGAAAAGGAAAAAGAAAGTAATCTGATACAATTTGATGAACTTGACCTACAACTATGGATGCAGTAGCTCAAAAGAGGGAACAAATTTTTACAGTGAGGATCATTCCTACCCCCTCCATGCACAGAGTAGACAGGGATGGGCAACTTGGACATTGGCTACCCAAAATGGGGGTGCTACAAAGGCAAGATGTGACTGGGTTACAAGCTTTCAAGAGGGAGCCTAGATCCAGAGGGCGTGGAGGAAGGTAGAATCTCCACTGAGTAGTATCCAATCTGTCTAGGCGGGCCTGATGAAAGGAGATGGGGATAGGTCTCCTGTGATACAATAATGAATAATTGTTATCAGGACTGCTTGTGAGGGTTGTAAATGGAAAGGTAGATGTTTTGTAGCAAAAGGAGGGGAGTGATTGACTTTGCAGTCTAGGAGCGAAGGTCCCTGGGACCATCAGGGGAGAAGAGTGGCATGCAAGACCCTAACCAGAGAAGCAGTGATGCCAGAGATGGAGTGGCTGGGGACTTTAGACCTAGAGAGGGAGATGGGCTGTGTGCTGATGACGGGACGGGCGGGCTTGCAGGGTATACCCTTTGGTTGATTGATGATATATGGAGGGGATTGTAACCATGGCAATGACATGGTATACGATAGGATGAATGTAAAGCTAATGTTCTCCCATGTAAACTATCACATAATTCACAATAAAACATTAAAGAAAAAAAAAAAAGATCCTGAGACCAAAAGAACTAGATGATGCCTGGCTACCACTACCAACTGCTCTGAAAGGGATCACATTAGGAGGTCCTGGGTAAAGTAAGGGAAATATGTAGAACAAAACTAAAAGTTATAAAAACAACGAGATTTACTGGTTGGATGGAAACTGTGCCCCATAGCCACCCTAACTTCAGGTCTGCAAAACACTAGGAAAGTCTACACGTCTTAGAATAATCTACCATTTGAGATCAAAAGGGCAGCATTTACCCAAGGACAAAGTTCAGAAGGGCTAGGAGAGAAGGAGGACTGGAAACAGGAAGCACAGGGAGGAAGTGGGATAAGTGCTGTTACATTGTGGGGATGGCGATCAGTGACATGAAACAACGCGTGTATGGACTGTTGAATAGAACAAAAAACAACTGGTCTACTCTGTACTTGTAAACTCTCACCTTATTCACAATAAAAACTTAATAAATAAATGTTATAAAATTTGAGGGTGAAAATGACAGCTTTGGAAACTGTGGAGCAGTTCTTCCCTGTCCTGTAGGGTTGTTGTGAGTCAGAATCGACTCAAGGGCACACAGCAGTGATAATCTTTATGGAAGCAGACTGCCATGCCACATCTTTCACCCCTTAGAGTTGCTGACCTGTCATTCAAACTCTTGTAGGTATTTAGCTATCCGACTGGTTAAACCTGAATGTTGCCTACAAGTTCTTTTTAATTCTAAAATCAGAAAACAATGAGGTGAGTGATAATCCAGTTAAGCTTGTGTTTGTGGTGGGGCTTTGTTTTCCCAGTTCACTCACTGTGATTCCCCTTGAATACTTGTGGAAGGAAATTAAAATCCTATTTTCATACTGCTTGGTTTTAGATGGTTGAAACCTTGTATAATAATGGTGCTAATTCTATATGGGAGCATTCTTTGCTGGACCCTGCCTCTATTATGAGCGGAAGACGGAAAGCTAATCCACAGGATAAAGTCCAGTGAGTGCATGTTTATAAATACTTTTATTTCTTCACAACAAATGGGGCCAACCAAAAGGAGGGCTGCTATTTTGGACCCGTTTTTACAGGGACAGCATAGGAGGTGGTGACCCCAAGGGTGCCCTATGCTCTCTGCTGTCAGAAATGCCATGGGAGGCAGGGTGGGGCCAGCTTTCTCTTTTGCATGGTAACGTAGCATGAGTAAATGGTTTCTCCAGTGAACCAAAGGCTTGGAGGCTGTTGATGGAATCAGGTTTAAATGTAGATGCTCAAACAAGAGGCAGGCATCCAGACTAGAAATCTAGGTTCTGGGCACCAGTTAGTTTGAAGCCTCACCTGGGATGTGGGGCTAATTGCTGTTTCCTTCCAAAGTTCGTGGGTCAATTAAGGAAATTACACATTGTAGAAAGAAGCTATAAAAAGCAGCCATTCTGCACTCCTGGCCACTATAATGAATGATTAATGTGTGTTTTCAGACTCCAAGCCTTAAACAAAACTCACAGCTTCCTTCAGCATTATCTCTTTGATTCTCCAGGAGGGAATGTTGGTCACTTCCTCTTCTTTCTATAGGGTAAAAAACGGGGAATGTTGGATCTGAACTGCAAGTGAACTGTTTTCTTTTTTGTTTTGAACCAGTCCCAATAAAGCAGAATTCATCAGAGCCAAGTATCAGATGTTAGCATATGTCCATCGCTTGCCCTGCAGGGATGATGATAGTGTAACTGCCAAAGATCTTAGTAAGGTGAGTTGCATCTTGGGTGAATCAACTTGCTGTTTCGTTTGGGGGAATAAAATCTTTAAAAAGAAAGAAAAGACAGACACAAACTCATGTTTGTACACCAAATTAACAACAGTCTTTTCTGCAGCTGGTTTCATCTTTAATCTTCGTTCAAATGACAGTCGTTCCTGTTAGTGGCAGTATGAGGCAGAAAAGAGAGGAATGACAAGGATCCAGAAAGCTATTTGTGTTTTCCAGATTTTTAAAGTTAAATATCTGAAAGTTTTGTATTTGCTTGCTTTAACTTTGAAATAGGAACCATGTTAAAGTTTGTTTCTAGGGAAGACTACAAAGTTTGTGAGATAATCCTTTCTAGTTGTTGTTAAATGCCATCGTGTTGGTTCCAACTCATAATGACCCTATATAGGGTTTGCTGGTGAGTTTGATCTGCCAACCTTACAGTCTGGTGCTTATCCTACAGGATTAGAAAAGGTATGAAAGGAAGAGCTAGCACCTTCATTCTTCTAGGTTGCATAGTGAGTGGGTAGAATCTTCAGAAAGCAGGGTGTGACTCAGAGCTGTAATTCATGTGGAATGGCTTGTAATACTCATAAAGTGAGTCTTCAGTTTTCTTTATGTGGGCTGTGGTGTGTTTTTGAGAGATGCCATGAGAAACATACATCTTTATTCTCAGAGCACTGCCTTTGACAAATGCTCATAGTGCAGGCACTTAAATTCAGAATTCGAAGTTTTGTATAGAAATGTGCCCAGTTGTTATATTCATTGATTTAAAAGGATTGGTTAGAGTCCTGTTCTCCATTCTTGTGTTAAGTTGCCACTGCACTTTAGAGTGTAGTTCAGTCCTTGTCCTACAGCACCACACCAGTAGTAAGTACTAGAATTTGGTGTACCACGGGGCTAGTTCCTACCTTGAAGACTTCCTGAAAGCATTGTGCAGCCAAGAACCATGCTGTGGAGAGGACGTGGCATAAGGCAGAATCTTGCAGCTTATGAAGTGCAGTAGCTGAAGCCCTGAAACCCGAGGTTCAACAACAACTCATTGTAATAGTAGGTGTAGTTGTTGAGCATTTTATGTACCACGCTCAGTGCTAGGCACACTATTGTAATATGAATCTTCACAGTTACCTTGTAGATAGAGGACTTTATTATCATCATTTTATAGATAGGAAACTGAGGCCCTAAGAGCTTCAAGAGCTTTCTCCACAGTCACACAGCTTGAAAAGGGTATGGTTTGAAATCCAGGTGTGTTAGCCTTCAGAGCCATTCTCAATCACCTCGTTATACTGCCTCTCATTCCAGTTCTGGTTGTGCCACCTGGACAAGACATGCCTTTGGGCAGGTCTGCATCACAGCCTGAATTCTTTATCAGTGAGATGGACCTGACCCTGCCTTACAGCCCAGGCTACTGTGGCTTCATCCACTTTATCCAACCAAATAAAGATCATTTATTACTGGTGAAACTTGCATTAAAATGATCTGCCAGCTGCTCTAGTACACCATTCTTTTTGCTTTGAAACAAGTACTTTATTTTGCTTGTGTGTCTTTCAGCAACTCCATTCAAGCGTGAGAACAGGGAATCTTGAAACCTGTTTGAGGCTGTTATCTTTAGGAGCACAAGCCAACTTCTTCCACCCTGTAAGAAAGCATGGTTTAATTTCAGTATTAAATTGAAACAAAATTGGTTGTGCTCATGTAGGCTTTAAGTATTTTGATTTTCTTTTATTTTTATAATGACTCTCAGGAAAAAGGAAATACCCCACTCCATGTTGCCTCCAAAGCAGGGCAGATTTTACAGGCTGAACTCTTGGCAGTGTATGGCGCAGACCCAGGCACTCAAGACGCTGGTGGGAAAACACCTGTTGATTATGCAAGGTAAGAGATCTAGATTCCTGTCTCTTCTCTCTCTTTGGTATTCTTTATGCTGGAGAAAAAGAGGAAGACCTCCAATGAGATGGATTGGTTCAGTGGCAGCAACAATGGGCTTAAATGTAGCAGTGATTGTGAGGCTGGCGTAGGTCCGTGCAGTATTTCATTCGGTTGGGCATAGGGTTGCTGTGAGTCGGTGTGGACTCAGTGACAATTAAAAACAATGCTGGTATGATTCCTTGTCAGTTCATTAAATTGTATATGAGTAGCATTGAACCCTTTAAAGATTTACATTCTGCTATTTTGTCCTGGTGTGGCGCTGTAGGATAAGCACTGAACCGCAAGGTCAGTTTCAACGGCAGGGCCAGTGGTTCCAACTCACCAGCTGCTCCTTGGAAACCCTATATAGGATTTACTGTGAGTCAGAATTGACTCAGTGGCACTTAACAACAACAATAACATTTTGCAGATGAAGACATTTTAAACACGTAGCATCTGAGCCTGGCAAAGTCCAAAAAGGGTAGGATTATAAACCAGTGTACTCTTCTTTCGATGTTTTACCTGTGCCAACTCATGGTGACGCTATATGACAGAATAGAACTGCTCCATAGTGTTTCCAAGGCTGTAAATCTTCGTGGAAGCAGATTGTCACATCGTTTGTACTGCAGAGTGGCAGGTTGGTTTGAACTGCTGACCTTTCAGTTGGCAGGCAAGCACTTAAACACCATGCCACCAGGCACCACCAGTCTTGTACTTGATCCTTCATAGCACAGTGGTTTTTGAGCCATAGTTGAGTCCAGATCACTTACCAAAAATTGCAGAACCCACCCTTCAAATTTCAAGTATCCTTCTTCTTCATTACATAAACCTATTTGGATAGATATGTGATTAAGCTTGCTCAATGTAAAATTCTGAAAAATTGTTTTGTTCAACAATTTTAACTGCAAAATACTGGCTGGCTAAATAAATCTGTGCATTAGAGTTGAATTTCTTTTCAGTGAGATTGATAATCGACCATCTTTTCTCCTTTTTCCAAATTAACTCTGTTACCTGGGAAGGACTTCTTACTCTGCTCTTTAGGAGAGAGTGTGAGTGAAGTGACAGAACTCTACCCTCTCAGACTATCCTGTCTCCTGGAAAAGATGATTCAGACAGGCAGAAAATGAGACGAGATAGTGGGTGATTCATTGTTAAAATGAATAATTGGTCATAATAGCTATTTGTTGAGTTTCTTCATTGTGGTTCAGATCATGAAGACATTAGATGGACTTAGATGGATGAGCTGGATTTGGGTAGATGAAGGAGGTAGAGATGGCCAGGGCCTATTTAGCATAGTAGAAGACTACTGTGAGAGCAGAGTGTGTCTCTGAATAATAAGAGCTAAGGTTGCTGTCTGTGGATGAATGCATGATATCAGATGTGAGTGTCCATTTTGTATGATGTATCATTATTTCATATACTAGAATAAGTCAAAAAGTTATTGCTACAAAATCATAGAAAGCTTCATTGAACAAAAATATAAGACGTGAAGCAATTGTTTCTTGACATTCCTCCATCTAGGGCTATACACTTGTGAGGGGGAGGTGTTTCCATTTCTCTTAACATTCTGCACTCAGTTTGAGCATCCTCGAGGGACTTGAATCATGCTCCTGTTAAGTGTTCTTTGAGTTTGAAGAATAAAAAGAAATCTGAATGGACAAGATCAGGGCTTGTCAGAGACATGGGAAAAAATTTCCCAAGGAAATTCTCTTAGGACTGCCTTTACTACCTTTGAAGAATGAGCAGATACATTGTTGTGGTAGAAAACAGTCCCTTGGCATAGTATCTTGGCCTTTCTCACCAATGTAGTTTTCATAAAACTTCCTAATAAGCCCCCATGACCATTTGGTGTCCTTCAAGAAAATCTATCAAAATTAACCCTTAGGAGTCCCCAAAAGTAACCTCCATGAGCTTCTGAAGTGACCTCTCTGCTGTGAATTTAAGTGGCTCAGCAGATCCCCTTGAAACCACTGTTGATTTGGACCTTTTTTTTTTGGAGGGCACCTTAAACGAGACTGAAATTAGTATATTACTGGGAGTGCCTGCTTACAGCCATCTGCTGATCACAGAGGCATGTTTAAACATACTTTGTTTGGAGTAAACTCCGGCTTGTATGAATTAGAACTCTAGTAGCAATACTTTTTGACTTACCCTTGTACCACTAAAAAAGAAATAGCATCGATCAACTAAATTATGGTGTGCCATCAGTTATAGGATACTTCCTGATTTCCCAGATGTTTTAAAGTGAGGGTGTTTTAAAATAAAGAGATTTATTTATGTCTTTAAAAATTTGAAGATGTTTGGTAGGTTGAAAGATATTTTATAGTGCCTTAAATGATGGAAATAGAAACAGGCAGAAACTAAAGTTTATCTTTTAAGATTAAGAGCTCTCAGTAAATGGTACTCATTATCCCCAACGTTGAAATTTCCTTTTCTGTACGTTTCATAGAATAGTTCCTGGAGGTAATAGTTTATTTATATTAGAGGAATTTATACTAAAGGGATTTCAGGAAGCTTAAATATTTATTTCATGAACTCACTATTTTCTGTTATGGAACTTAAGGATAAATCACTCCAGGTGTTGGGAGGTGTCCATTAAGTCTTCTTCTCTGAATTGAAGCCTTTGAAGTGTTTACTAGACACTCATCCAAAGTCACATTGGCTGCATCAGAATCATCAAAAGGGAGGCTTTTCTTCAGAATACTGATGCCTAGACCCCATCCCATCCTTATAGATTCAGAATATCTAAGGGTGAGGCCTGGGCATAGGTATACATTTTTAAATGCTCTTGTTAATTTTTGAGAACCTATACCCTAGGCCATTTATTAATTTTATCTTCTTAAGTCATTGGACCAAGTTATTCTCTCCCTCTCATAAGTCCCCAAATTCCTTATTTAATATTCTGTTTTAAATTAGTAGGAAGTTTGTTGTCGTTGCTAAGTGCTGCGGAGTTGGTGCTGACACATAGCAACCTTGTATAGGGTTTCCAAGGAGCGATTGGTAGGTTTGAGCCACCAGTCTTGCGGTTAGCAGCCCAGTGCTTATCCTATAGTACCACAATTGTGAAATGGTTTATAAAGATGGGAATCAAAGTAGATCTTGACAATGTACTCACACAAGAAGGTTGATCATTCTACAAAGTCTTGTTTGATAAACAGCTCAGGTGTCTTTGGAGCTATTGTTCTGCTTTTGTGTTTAAAACCATTGAATAGTGAGCAATATAAGTGATGCTTTGTTTGCTCCTGGTAGGCAAGGAGGACACCAGGAACTGGCAGAGCGCCTTGTGGAAATACAGTATGAGCTGACTGACAGACTAGCCTTCTACCTCTGTGGCAGGAAACCAGGTGAGTGAAAGAATAACAACCTCTCACCACCTGCAGTCAGCACTTCTCTGGAAAAATAAGCCGAACAACTGGTTTTTATGACCTTCCTTGCTTTCCCATAGCCTCACAAAAATTACCAATAGAAGTGTTTATTTGAAATAACTAGGGAATGGTAGAATTGACAGTTATATGTAAAAATGATAAAGTTGGTCAAATCTTGACTTTTTCCTTTTTTTGAACTTCATTTAGCTCTACAAAAGTAACTGTTTCAAGAGTCAAAAAAATGTAATTGAACCAAAACGGAATGTGTACCACTGTAATGTGAGAAGGAGTGGAGAAGCAGAGCAATAGCTTGTGTAGTTATTTAAAGAATTCTGCCTTCTGTGGAATGGAAAAGAGTCCAGAAGTGAACTTTACCATTAGCTAACTTTGCTTTCCATGATGTAGTACAAGGGCTGGAAACCACAGTCTATGAGCCAAATTCAGCCCTTCACCTGTTTTTGTACATAAAGTCTTATTACAGGATATCTGTGTCTATTCATTTATATGTTGTCTATGGCTGCTTCCTGTCTACACGGCAGAGTGGAGTAATTTCACCTGAGATGGGAGTGGCCATAAGCCTAAAACACTATACTGTCTGACTGTTTACATAAAACGTTTGCCAACTCCTGCTGTAGAATATTCATAGTTAGTGATTCTCCGCTCTAGTTGTACAGTAAAGAACTCAACAAAGTATTAGCAGATAGAATTCAAGACTATCTAACAAGGATAATGTAATCTAAATCAACCCAACTAAGCCCATTGCCGTTGACTCAGTTCTAGCTCCTGGAGACCGTGTAGACTGTATAGGAATCAGACAGTCACATCTTTCTCCTATGGAGTAGCTGGTGGGTTTAAACTACCAATCTTTCTGTTAGTAGCCGAGCACATATCCACTGAGTCACCAGGGCTCCTTACAGTATAACCAAGTAGGATTAGTCTAAGTATGTAGGACTTATGCAACATTTGATAATTAATTAATATACTCCATTTCTGTAACATTGTATTGTGTCTTAGTTATCTGATTCTACTGTAACAGAAATTTGTTTCCTCATAGTCAGGGAGACTACAAGTCTGAATTCAGGGCCCCAGCCCCAGCTCTAGAGGAAGGTCTCTTTCTCTGTGGGCTCTGGGGGAAGAGTTCTTGTATCTGCTCACTTAATCTTCTCCTTTTGTATCTCACAAGAAATATCCTATGCTAATACTATCTCCTTAACATTATGAAGAAAACCCATTCCCAAATGGGATTATTACTGCAGATAAAGAGTTGAAGATTTGCAACACATATTTTTTGGTAGGATACAATTCAATCCATACCACAGACTAAAGGAGGGAAAAATTGTGTCATCAAATTGGTTGATGCAAATAAAAGCATTTAACAAAATTCAGCATCTATTTGTTTCTTAGCAAATATGAGGGGACTTCAAAAAGCTTGTGGAAAAATTCCATTATCTTTTAATTTCCTTCTTCCATGAACTTTCTGAAGCCCTCCTTGTAGGAATAGAAGGGACTTTCTTCTGATAAAGGATAGTTATAGAAAACTAACGTCTTCCTTAAGGATGAAAGACTGAAGGCTTTTCTGCTAAGATCACTCTCACCATTCCTAATCAGAACTGTCCTGGAAATCTTAACCAATGCCATAAAGGCAATAAAATAAAAGGCATGCAGACTGAAAAGAAAGAAAATTGTTTCTATACATAACTTAGTTGGTTTCTATGTAGAAAATCTCAAGGAAAGTACAAAAAAGTTTACCAAGGCTGCAGGCTCAATAACCAAAAATCACTCCTCTATTTCTATAGACAAAAAAACCCAACAAAAATAAACAAGCAAACTCACTGCCATCAAGTCAATTTCAACTTACAGCAACTCAGTTTAATGTCTCCAAAACTATAAATCTTTATGGGAGCAGAAAACCTCATTATTTTCCAGTAGAATGGCTAATGGGTTTGAACTGCTGACCTTGTAGTTAGCAGTCCAGTGCTTATTTTACAGTGTCATGTTGTTGTTAAGTGCTGTCAAGTCAGATCCGACCCATAGCGACCCTGTATAGGGTTTCCGAAGAGCAGCTGGTGTGTTTGAACCGCTGACCTTGAAGTTCAAATGGCTTTGCAGTCTGACGCATTAACCCACAGCGCCACACCAGGGCTCCTTACAGTGCCATACAGGCTCCTTTTTTCTGTAGACAGATTTTGTTGTTGTTAAGTGCTGTGGAATCAGTTCCAACTTACAGTGACCCTGTATAGGGTTTCCAAGAAGCATCTGGTTAGCAGTACAGTGTTTATCCTCCAACACCACACCACACAGACAATTGGAAACAAATTTGAAGAACAGTATTACTCAAAACAGTTCCAAACTAAACATTAAGGTATAAAGCTAATGAAATGTGTATAGGATCTATCCATATGTTGAAAACTATAAAATGCTGATCAGAGAAAACCTAAATAAGTGGAGCGATTCGTGAAGCTAACAATTTCCTACAAATAAAAGTATAGTCTTACAGCAATTTGAGGATTTTTCCTTGATATGGATTTGCTTAGTTAATAATTTATATAGAAAGGCAAAGGTACAAAAAAAATAATGTGGAAGGAGTCACACCACCAAGTTTTAATATTTGCTAGAAAACTGTGGAGTCCTGGTATGACACTGTGGGAAAAAGCATTGGTCCACAAGGTCATGTTGAACCATGAGGTCGGACAGTTCAAACTCACCAGCTGCTCCATGGAAATCCTACGTAGGGTCGCTATGAGTCATGACTGACTGACGTGATAGCACTTAACAACAACATAAAACTCTATAGTATTCAGTACGGTACTTTTACAGTACTCAGTGCAGGTGAAGGATAAATGTAAACTACAATAACAGTATAGAGAGTCCAGAAAAAGATCCATATAAATATGTTTAATTGATTTTTTTTTTTTAATGTTTTATTGTGAATATGATAGTTTACATGGGAGAACCTTAGTCTTACATTCATTCCATCGAATATCATCTCATTGCCATGGTTCCAATTCCCCCCATGCATCATCAACCAACCAAAGGGTAGATCCTAGAAACCCGTCCTTTACACACACCCCCACCCAGTTTTCAGCCCACAGTCCCTTTCCCTCTCTGGGCCCAAAGTCCCCAGCTGCTTCTTCATCACTCCATGTGGTTGTCTCTGTCTCTATGTCAGGCATCTCTGTTTCTCTGGGTAGGGTCCCGCTCTCGGCTCTTCTCCATTGATGATCCCAGAGACCTCCGCTCCTAGCCTGTAGAATTAATCACTCCCTTCCTTGTTAAAAACTTCTACCTTTGCGTTTCCAACCCTCACAATCCGTCCTGATAAGCATTATTCACTACAGTATCGCGAGTTATCCATCTGTATTTCCTTTCATCAGCTCTGCCCAGACAGATTGAGTAGTACCTACTGGAGATTCTGCCTTCCTCCATGCTCCCTAGCATTAGGTTCCCTCTTGAAGGCTTGTAAGCCAGTCACTTCTTGCCTTTGCAGTCCCCCCTCCTCATTTGAGTATCCAATGTCCAAGTTGCCCATCTCCGTCTACTCTGTGTGTGGAGTGGGTGTAAATGCTTCTTACTGTAAGGATTTGTTCCTCCTTTAGAGTTGCTGCTCCATAGGTATAAGTCAAGTTCATCAGATTGTATCAGCTCATTCTTTTTTTTTTTTTTTTTTTTCCCTCTTCTTTCCTCTCCTGGTTGAGCTCC